CCATGAGATCATGACCCGAGCCAAAGTCAGATGCTCAACCGACTGAGCCACCCAGGCGCCCCCTCAAAAGAGAGTTTTAACGGGAAATAAAAGAAGGAGAAAGATAACCAGTGTTGTAAATCAGGAGAGGAGAGTTGGGAAGTTATTCCTTTTCAAAGTTAAATTTTTCATAGCAGGTTGACATCTGAATAAGTTCATAGGATGAGAAATGAATGGATGGACTAGATCAAGTAGAGGTACTTCTATTCCTCCTCTCCTTCCTGAAAGCCTATAGATCTTATTATATGTGTCATACCAATTGGCAGGTGATTTTAGCCTTCATTGATTACCATCACGCACTGTCCCCTAAGCATTTTCCAAGTAAAAGTCTTGTGTGTGTGTTTTTTTAATATTGCAGAATACTTGAGGAGATGGGTCACCTCACATATTTGATGTGGCCTCTCAAAGCTTTTAGCCCACCCTATATATGTGTTAAGCAAGAAAGGAATCATTGCACACTGGAGCTAGAATGAGAGAAAATGAAGCTGTGAACCTATCTTCCACCTGCAGTAACCCTCACGAATGTGTTAAGGCCAAGGCTATGAGCTACTAGTCTTGCCAACAGAAATGGATGTACAGGAGGGATGAAGAGATGAAGGCCAGAAGAGAAGCCTTTGAAACAAATATGTTGAACTCCAACATTGGGAAGAGATGAAGAATGAAGTGAAAATAGAGAGAATGTGAAAGATGAAAGAAAAGAGGTGGTGGCTCAGCTCCCAGGGATAGAATTTGGACTGTGATCAAGTTCCAACAGTTTCCTTTTTTTAAATGTTTTATTTATTTCTGAGAGAGAGAGAGAGACAGAGACAGAGAGACAGAAAGAGAGAGACAGCATGAGCAGGGGAGGGTCAGAGAGAGAGGGAGACACAGAATCTGAAACACGCTCCAGGCTCTGAGCTGGCTGTCAGCACAGAGCCCGACACGGGGCTCGAACCCACAAACTGTGAGATCATGACCTGAGCCGAGGTCAGATGCTTAACCAACTGAGCCACCCAGGCACCACCCAACATAGTTTCCATGTCATACATGTGGAGGGTAGAGGAGGGACTAGGAATCATGACTCCTTGAACTGAACACCTTCAGTTAGGTCTTCAACAAAACCTCTTGTGTTTCTCAAGCAGGAAGTTGATAAGCAGTACTTAATGGAGACTTGAGGGAGCCCATACCCTCAGGAATGGGAACCAAATAGGAGCCGACATTTGAAGCTTAGGGAGAGATTTAGCACATTGTTAGCAGTGGAAAATATCATCCTTTGCCTCCTTGAGCAAAACTTCCCAGGGTTTTGAAATAAATTAATCTTATGTTTCTACTTTAACCCCAATAGAAGCCTAAATCCTGAAAAGTTTCTGCAATAAGTATATTTTGTTGACAGGTTATTGTATAGGATATAACCTCCCACAAAAAATCTTGTCTATATCCACCAGAATGGTGAAAACGAATGATACTGCATCAAAGTCATGGCTGTATTTGTTACATGGCCTTCAATCTTTTGCTTCTTTCTCCCTTATACTTTTTAAAAGCAGGGAGTCTATTGAGAAATCTTATTAAAAATCACAAACTGAACAGCAGACCCTTTTTTTCCCCGAGAACCAGAAACAGATTTTAAATGACAAAAAAAACCTTCCTTTAATCTTTTTGTAACATCTTGACAGTTGTGCCAGAAGATGTCTGCTTCTGCCTTCAAATATAATTGCTTTTGGTCTGAAATAATTCATTTCTCACTCTTTTTCCTCTACTAGAAATCTTTGCCCTTTAAGCTGGATATTTCCCCTTAATTTTGTGGCTACTTTATTGGAAGGTAATGGGAAGGGATAGGAAGCTGGTAGGCTAAGGTCACCAGAGTGAATGTCATAACACAATACTTCGTGAGGGTGTAATGTGGGATAGAGCATCTGTGAACCAAGGTGGGGCGGGGGAGGGGGAGGACTAACAAATTTTGTCATAAAAATGAGGTTAACTGTCACACTTTTGACTATCTAGTGTCATCAAAGGTATTTGGCCTTTTAAAATCCTCCAGAGCATGTTTCTATTTGTTCTGTTTCAATAACTCAAGTGAAGCCATATCACAGTTGAAAAGCTTTTTAGCAGTTTAGTGTCTTAACGATGCCAGATCTGGGTTTCTTCAAAGAATCTCTTATAAACATTGGAGTAGGAGTGTCCTCAGATTTCTGTAAAATCTGTATCTATGGACTCTTTTGCAGGAAACATTTATGATTTGTGAAATAAGCCTCATGGGTAATAGAAATAGGTGATCTCAGCAAGAGGGGGATCTTCAATGGTGGGATGGGGAGGGTAGGCAGCAGTGAGAATCCATAACTGCAAAGTGGCATGGTATGTCCTTCTAAATTCAATCACCTAAATTCAACTCTTGAATCACAAATCACAGAGAAGGAAAGATAAAAAAGGGAAAAAGGGGATGTGAAAGAGAATCTGAAGTGTTGACCATCACAATAAACCTAAGAGTTTTGGGCTCCTTGCCTTGTAGTGTATCTTTTTTCCCATATATATATCTGTCATTTCTTTCTTCCAAACCAGTTCTGTGAAGATACGTGTAGTCCATCAGCTCTTTTATGACTTAGTTTTACAAATGCTTTTGGCTTCCTTGCATTTTCTTTTTTTCTATATTTACTAAAGCCCAGAAAAGGACTATGCCATGCATGTTGTGGGGCTTATGGGATTAAGCAACTCCGTATTGCCAACTTTTGTCCATATTTGATGTGCTGGATGACTGAAGATTTATCTAATAGAGCATCGTCTCTGCTTTTATAATTGCTTGAGAAAACAGGAAATACCTGAATAAAATGGGGTGGGGGGAAGGGAATTCCAAGCCTCTGTTGCACTACTCTGGAGTCCTTGGAAACTCTCAGGCACACTGTTGTTTCCACTTGCCATGAGACTACTTAGCTATTGAGAGGCAGGGTAGAGGTGGTGCATTTCATATGTAGGTAGGAACTTAAGGTACTTTTGGAGAAACAAATCTAAGCCCAAGTTTTTTTTCTTTCTTTGGAAAAACAAGGATGAGAGTTAACATGCATTGAGCACTTACCATAAGCCAAGCACTGTGCTTGATGCTCCTTATAATATGTGGTTGGGCCTGTATCCCATTTCCCAGTAAGACACAGTCACCAGCATTCTGGGAAGGATCAGATATCTTAAAATGAAACCCACAGTTTATGCTATACATTATTATGGTCTATTAGGAGATTCCCAATGGATGAGAACAAAGATTCAGTGTTGCTAGCTGGGTCTAAGACAAAGAAGAAGAAACTGACGATTTTCCTTAGGTTTTCTTCCTGTGGGTCATTTGCCCTGATAAAATATAGGTATCCTGACCCATCACCCATTCCCCAGGGCTGGTCATTTTGCTTCTCTATATCAATCCAGGACCTTATATCTTTTTCATTTCTCTTTATTAGTTATTTAATACTATCTGTCCTTCCTGGGTTAAAAGGTCTGTTTAATTCTGAATCCCATTTCCAGGATTCCCACTACACTCTATTACTTGTAATTCCACTTTTCCTTATGAGGAGCACGGCTCTTCTCTATTTCAGTCTTTGGGGATCCCAAGCAGTTTTATGCAAAACTAATGATCTTTTATTGTTATTAAGAGACCTCATTTTCCTGGAGGATTAGCACCTCCTAACTCTAGAGACTGTCTCATTTTATCCTTGTAACAGTTGGGCAAGGTAGATTGGCACGACCTTATTTTACTCTGAGGAAAGTAAGTTCATAGTTAGATAAGTTGCTTAAATCATGTAATTAGTAAATGGTAGAGCCATAAGTTAAATATTGGTCTATTTGGGGCTAAAGGAAGTAGGTATGTTCCTTTTATACAATGGTCTCTTAAAATCTAACATTTATTGAATGCCTACTGATGGGTCAAGCACTGTGCCAAGGCTGCTATGCTGAGGAATTCTGAAATGGAGTGGGCATCAAATAGAGTTGGCTTTCTGAAGTCCTATGATGAGAGAGATTCTGTGATCTTGTCTACACTCAGTGGGAAAGGATGTTGGGATTCATCGTTAATGTCTATCATGGGAGCATGATAAGGTGGCTTTGCCAATTATTCACCTTCTCTCACAGAGCCACCCAACATCAGGGTAGGATGATATGATATTTAAGAGCTAGATTCGGCCTGCTACAAACCAGATTCATGTCCGAAAGTCCTTAACTTCAATGTCTTGAGGAAATTACTTAAACTGAGTCTCCATTATCTCTCTCTCTCTTTCTCTCTCTCTCTCTCTCTCTTTTTTTTGTTTTTGTTTTGAGAGAGAGAAATCATGAGCATGAGTTGAGGATTAGGGGAAGGGGCAGAAAGAGAGGGAGAGAGAGAATCCCAAGCAGCATCCGCACCCCACATGGGGCTTGAACCCATGAACCATGAGATCATGACCAGAGCTAAAACCAAGAGTCAGATGCTCAACCAACTGAGCCACCCAAGCACTCCTCCATTATCTCATTCTTCATTATTTTGTTTATTTATTTTGAGAGAGAGAAAGTGAGAGAGCAAGAGAGTATACTTGCCCAAGTGGGAAAGGGGCAGTGAGAAGGAAAGAGAATCCCAAACAGGCTTCACACTGTCGGTGCAGAGCCATATATGGGACTCCATCTCATGAACCCATGAGATCTCAATCTGAGCTGAAACCAAGAGTCAGATGAACCACCCAGGTGCCCCACTCATTCTGTAAATGAGGATTATCATAGTATTCACTTTGGGTTACTCTGAGTCTTAAATGTGACAATATACTTGAAGCACATAATGCAATGCTTGGCACATTAGGTCTTCAGTAAATGTTACCTGTTATAAATGTAATGCAAATGGAAGTTTAACTTGATAGACTACTTACTATCTTTTATTTTTCTTTCTCTAATCATACGTAGGTTACTTCTCTAAGGAGATACCTATATTTTTCACAGTGAAATAAAAGAGTAATTATTTTTCTCATTTATTTCCCTGACAGGTTCCTCTTCACTTCCTTAAGATTAGAAATGCTCATTTGGCTAACTGATCTAGTCAGTAATGAACACCAAATGCTGACTAGGAGACTCAGGTAAGAAGTCATCTGCAAAACCACAGATGAAGGCATGGTATATTTTGAAAAGTCAGGATGAGTATAATAAATTTAAGGAGTTTATAGGGGATGCAGGGCAGAGAAAACCCTAATGTCAGTGTTTTGGGTGAAGATGATATTGGTTTTGCAGACCACAGTTTCTGTCTCTGCTGCCATGTTGAGAGATAGGAGAAGTATGAAAGGGCTTTGGTGAGGGGCTGAGACTGAGAAATGTAGCCACAAACCACTGTTTCTTGTCCGAGTTCCATTAGCACCGTGCAGGCGTGTGCTCCAGTGCTGTGAGTGTACTTTGGGAGCTTGTAATTGCCCTGTGCTCCAGTCAAGAGATGGGTAATTGCTCCTATGGGCCATGGATTTCCTGCTAGCAGCAGCTGATTGAAACCAGCCATTTATTGTGGTTAAAAACCCCAGACTTACTGCAGTGTTTACAGATAAACCTTCTGTGCAACAGTCATTTACTCTACCCAGCCATCCATATATTAAAGATATTACACACTACCCCCTCCCTTTCTCTTGAAGACAGATCAACTGTTCTTTTCAGTTTGATTAAATTTCAGTATGTAGTGTTGACATGCCAACTCTTTAAATTTTGTAGCTTATGCTTTAAATAAATTTGCATTTCTTTGTACTGAAGTTCTATTTTGGGGGTGTTTGTTAATAGCCACACTACTGTAGTTTTAGTTAGATACTTCTGCAAAGTTGCTTTTCCTCTTTTCTGTTCCTCCTGTGAGCCAAACACAGATCTTAGCCTGTGTGTCTGTTGATACTCTCATGAGATGGAATGTAGTAAAGGTAGACCGTTTACTCAGTAGTCACAAATTTTTAAGTTTTGGGGAAGCTGAGAGAGGATTATGTGTTTTCTAATTTCAGTGGCACCTGTATCCGCAATGGATACAATTGATGCTGCTACATGATATCACACGGTGGAAGACATTCTATGTTTACTCTCACCTTACTGGTTTCCCATTCCACTACCCTTGCAGTCCTATTAAATTTAGGTTTTAGGGATTAAAAGAGCAGATTGATCCACATATGAATCAAGTCTGTCGAGTGGATCCCAAGATTTTGGGTGGTTTTAATTCAGTTTCTCTGTTTATGAATACCTACAGTGATATCATCTTCTACTTGTTCCCTTTGTTGTTGGGACAAGAATGAACGATGAGCCAGGAACATCACCTCGGACTTGTGATATCAGAAATTCTGTGACTTCCAACCCTGCCCTCTTTTTCTTGTTTAAATTTTCCCACCAAACCTTGGTGGAATTCATGAGTGATTTATGTTCTTTCTATAAGAAAACATCTATAGGATTATTTGGTAATTTTGACATTTATATATAAATTCTCTAGTTGATTGGTAGGAAAATGGCTTATCCATTTTACTTTTTAACTGAGCAACTATGAAAAGTTTATATTATCATGGTCAGACCTGGTTAGTGACCAAAAGAGATGAGATTTGTCTTGTGCAAGCCTTCTCTTCTTGCAGCTGTATCTCTATCAGATACATGTATCTCTATCAGACACATGGAGCTGATGGATTTATTTATAATGCAGTGTTAAAGAATATATTAATTAGGACTCTCAGGTCTGTGTCTAAGCTTGTGTTTCTGGAACTTCAGATAATGACTACTAATTTGCCTTCTAAATTCTGAGGTTGAAATTAATGATTTGAGTAGAAACCAAATACAGCAATTGAGTTAAAGCAAACATTTTCCCATAGTATATGAATACATGAATTTGGTCCCCTGGTAGATAACAGATGGAGTATGTATGTCTGGGTGTTTAAGAACATGATACAGGACAAGAAAACAAAAACTTGACTCCTATGATGGTATAGTTGTGTGATACATTTCAGCAGATTCAAATTTAATACAAAGATTAATGGAGTAATAATTAAATTTACAAAAAGAGTTCTTTATAAAAGACCAAGGGAAATACTGAATTAATGAATGCCTGCTTCTAGGCCCTGCTACTTTGCTTTATGTCTTCTTATTTATCATTTCCCTAATGAAGTAGATGTTATCTTCCTCATATAAATATATTTATTCAAGTAATCTCTACATCTAACATGGGACTAGAACTCATGACCCCAAAATCAAGAGTCTCATGATCTTCTGACTGAGCCAGCTAAGCTATGTTATTTTCTTAAAGATGAGGAAGCAGAGGCTCCCGGGGTGAAATAATCTGGCTCTGATTGTAAAGCTTGTAGGAGGAGCAGTTGGGATTCTAGTTCAGGCAGGTCTGGCTCCTAAATCCATGTACTTTCCATTATTCACCTGGTCCTTGAAGTTTTCTTATTTCTCTGCATATCAAATTTCCTAGCACAGTTAAACATGATTTGATTGATCAGCATTTGGTTTCACTTGGGTTTTTAGGAACTCACTCAATTATTGATTCATTCAGCTAATATTTATTTTTGTATCTCCCGTATGTCACTGCTAGGCACTGAGAATACAAGATTAATGAGATGTGGTTCCTGTTCTTGAGAAGCATTCATGGAGGGGACATACATGTAAAAAAAAAATACTTTTGATCCAGTTTGAGAGCCACATTAGAAGTACAGTAGAACCTGTGTTCCCATCCATGGTTTGGCTTACAGGGTGTCAGTTCCCTGTTGTCAGCCGTGGTCTGGAAGCGGATGATTCTCCTGGTATGTCATATCCTAACACTATCTCAATGCTTATGTCATTCACCTCACTTCATCTCCTCACGGAGGCATTTTATCATGCCACACCATCACAAGAAGGGCGAGTACAGTACAATGAGGTACTTTGAGAGACACCATATTCACATAACTTTTATTATAGTATATCGTTATAATTGTGCTGTTTTATTATTAGTTATTGTTGCTAACCTCTTGCTGTGCCTAGCTTATAAATGAAACTCTGCCATAGTTATGTATATATAGGGTAAAAATAGTATATACAATGTTTGGTACTGTTTTTATCAGGGAAACGATAAATAAATATGTGGTTTAAGGCATCTGCTAGAGGCTTTGGAATGTAGTCCCCACAGATAAGGGTGGACTACTGCATGTCAGGTTTCATTTTCATGGGTGAAACAAAAAGCAAGTAATTGACATGTTTGTGAGAAGAGGTTGTGTTTGGCAAAGGGTTTTTACCAAAAAAAAAAAAAAAAAAGAAAAGAAAAGGCTGTAACTGGAGTCTTAAAGGATAGTGATGATGATAATGATGATAACAGTGAAAATAGCTAATAGTTTTGAACACTTAGTATGTTCTTGAAAGCTACCGGATAAAGGCCTTCCTTCATTTAACCTCTCAATATCTCTAGGTGTTATTCCTTTTCACACCTTGGTAATGGGGAAACAAAGGCACAGGGAGTTTAAGTAACTACTAGATAGTAGAAGTAGGATACAAATCAAAGGTGGCTAGTCCTAGAGCCAGCCTCATTCTGTGGTTCTGTTTTATTGAAGCAGTGCTGAGTGAGGATTTACCTAGAAGATGGTCAGGTTGAGGTAAAGAGAAGGTTGCAGATTTTGGAAAGTTTCACCTAAGTGAGCAGGATGTGTGAAGTCAAAGACATGAGAAACAACATGGCATACAGCAGAGATTTATAAGGAGCCGCCTATGGCTGAATGCACCTTGTGTATTGGGGGTTGTTGAGGAAGGTTGCTTAGATCAGGAAGGACCTATTTGAAAATGGTAAGTTTAGATTTGGTGACATTGAAGGATTTTAAGTAGGGGAATGGGATGATCCTATCTCTTTTCATCACTAAGGTATACACAGGAAATGAGGAAAAAGTCTAGGTATCAGGGATTTGAGTCAAAGCCCTCAAAATATGTTAGTAGCAGGAATTTGACAACCTCTACTTAAAATCATTTTAATAGCATACATTATTAATCTCAATATTTAAAGATGTGATAACTTCCACTTTTAATGCCGTGCTTTCTTTCTAGTCAAAGCACTTCTAACAAAGAGGTTAGACCAGTCCTTGGAAATTTGCAAATGCCATGATCATTTATGCAGGTTTCAGACAGGCCATGTCACCTGAGATAGACACTCATTCTTGATGTGAGCTTTAGATCAAATTGCTTTCTCCTAAAAGAGGGCCTCATGGAGAATTTGTAAATCATAGATTTAGCTTTTATGTGTTTTTAAGAACCCATTATAATGTTTCACAGACCATAACCCAAACTCCAGGATCCTGAGCTCACATACATGCATTGACAACCCATTTTTGGGAGGGGGAGACATGGCTGAAAGGGCCACCAGGGTTATTGGTTTTGATTGCTGTCTTTCTAGGCACTGCAGCTAGCAGAGGGAATGCACCACCTGAAGATTTAAAGCCAATAGCAGTCTTTGCCTCTCCTGATATTTTCCACCTTAGATTGGATCAAGCAAGCATTGCCTGACACTGGTGGTTGTTTTCCCTGACTTGCATTGCTGTTATATGATGACCTTTTCTTTGTTTATTGTTTTATTTGAACTTGCTGGGAGTTTATATAATTGATGGGCTTATATGCTGTAGTATGTCTGGGAATCTGCTGCTGATATACTACAATGTCTGAATGTGTAGTTTTTTCTTTCATTCCCTCCACCCCCACTCATACCCCTGATGTCAGATAGTCAACATCCCAACTGGTTGAGCTGATATGGCAATCATCATATCAGCTGAGATTCTTCCTTATCTTGTAAGCAAAAGGTTCAGGTTAATCAGAGTCACCTAAGGGTCAGCCTATATTAGAAATTTCAACGTTTTGTTGACAATCTTTCAAACTCTGGTATACTACCTGAGTTTTAGGTTTTGATATATTTTTTAACCAAGATTAGTCTCTGCTTATATTATCTCAGCTGACTGGGGTGTTGAAATGTACAAATTATGCGGTTGTTCCTTACTTATGAAAAATAAGTAGTATGCGGTTCTCAGTATATGTTTGGTAGCTAATCACTTAACATTTTAATCTGATTTTAAAAACTATAGGCATTAGAAAAAAAGGGTGCCTGGATGGCTCAGTCAGTTAC